GGCTGTGCATGTTTAGAAGTGAGGGTTATGGGAAGTCTCTGTACTTTATGCTCAATATTGCTGTAAATCAAAAATTGTTCTAAAAAGTAGCTTATTAATAAAAACTATCATGGGCCACTGAAAAGCCCACTGTGAGATTCCAAGGGTCTATCCTCTTATTTCTAGCTGAAGTTGAGGGCACAGCCAGCAATTAAAACATGATTTACATTTAGTTAAAAGATAAAGTAACATTTTAAAAGCAGCTGCCATTACTTTCATTATTTATTCATAGGCACTGTGTAATTGCAGAATTGTGCTGAATAAAGACAAATGTGTTCTCTTTATTGAAGAACTTACAGTCCAAAAATAGAATGGAAATTTAGTAACAACTTTAATTTCTCAGGATCATCAAAACAAGCATTCTAATGGAAAGAAGTGAGTCCAAAAGACTCTTGTGTGGATAAGTCTTCTTACACAATATTTATATTTATGGTTCTTATACCTAATTGCATATTGAGAAGAACCAAACTGTCCTCAATTTGGCTCAAGTGTTGGCCTGTATGTTTTTAATTAACTTGGCAAATATGGATGCATATTTCATGAATCTAATACTATTAGACAAATGACACTAAAATACACTCTAAACACTAAATTGTTCAAATATGGGAAGGGGGAGCTCTTGAGTCTCGCAGAACCCATTATCAATCATTCGGAAGTGTTTACCTCAATGTAAAAGCTGCCGTGCTTAAGGAATTTAGAAACTGCAGTGTTATACAATTCGGGCATTCTTTTGTTTTCTCTTCTAGATGTTTCAATATGTCCTCTGTGTTCTTATAACTAGCACTTGGTGTGCTTTTCTTCTGTTGTTGCTCGGTTTGTTTTGTTCTGTCAGGGCCAGATGATCGGTGACAGGTTAAGGTTGGCGGTGCTTGGGCAGGCTAAATAGCCATCTCAGATGGGTGAATAAAGTAAAATTACATTTATTAAAAAGGGGTGGAGATATCTAAAGGGAAGGCCTACACAGCACTGAGCCAAAGGATATTGGGTCCATGATGGCAGCAAAAATATACTTGAGACAGTGAAACAAGGAAGAGCACAGAAGACCACAGGAGAGCCCAGGCGGGGCTGCTGTGGCCCCTGAGAAGTCGGAGAGAGAGGAGGGGCCTTGGAGATTGGTTCAGGGGGTAACCNAAACAAGGAAGAACACAGAAGACCACAGGAGAGCCCAGGCGGGGCTGCTGTGGCCCCTGAGAAGTCGGAGAGAGAGGAGGGGCCTTGGAGATTGGTTCAGGGGGTAACCCCGGGATGATGCGCTGCTGCCCATTGCTCCCCTGGTTGCAAATCTCTTGGGGTCCCCTTGAAGGGCTGGAGAGGGCGCTGGTGCGCTCCCCTGCGGAGGGGAGAGAGCACACCGGATCCTTTGCCCTGAGTGTATTTATCTCTTTCTTGCAGGTGGGAAATATTAGTGGAGGTCTTAGGGGGTGTCTCAATAGAATATTCATCAGCTTTCCAGCTGTGCTCTTTCAGGGTTGTAGTCTCCATTGATTGGCCAGTGCCAGGGCAGGAGGTCACTAGTCAGTGTACTGAGTCAGCCACTTGTCTGGTTTCCCTGCTTGTCTGGGCCTGGAGCTGAAATACAACTGAGGCCTAGATGTTATCTTGAGGGAGAAATGCCCGGGGCAATTAAACCGTGTGAAGGGCAATATGCTGGGGGAAGATAGATTACCCTGGGACAAGGTTCTTGTTTTCTCAGTTTTGCCCCTTGCTAGCACCCTGGGCTTCCTGCCCTGGTGAATCTCTGTACCCTAGTTTCTGTACCTGGCCCGTCTAACGAAGAGTTTCCCCTAATTTAACATAAAGCTTAACGCAGGAATTAAACCCACTTTCCTCTTGAAGATTTCCTTGTAGCAGCTTTCCCCTTAGAGGAGGCAGTTTGACACTGTGGCGCTGTAGGATATCATGATCATCCTGAAACCCTTGTCCCACTACCCTTCCTTCCCACTTTCTGTTCTCACAGTACTGAACTACTTCAAAGTTCTCCAAAGCACCAGCATTGTATTCCTCTCAAAAGTCACACATGCTCTCTCCTCTGCTTGCCACGTTCTGCCCTCCCTCTGTCTGGCTTACTCCTTAGCTTTGCAAGCCCCAATTTACGTGTGCCCTCCCCCAGGAAGCCCACCTTCATGGCTGCCCCAAACTTAAACACTCCACCTGCTTCTACCCAGTAGCTTACGCAGACACCAAGTATGGGCTTCAAATGCTGCTGTTAGACATGGTGCCATATTGCAACTTACTTGTTTTACAATCTGCCCCCTCTGAGTGAGGGAACTTCGGGTCCGGTTAGGTGCTGTACTTTAATTATCTGTATGTTCACATGTCCTCCACATTGCCTGGCCCATAGTAATTGCTCAAGATAAGTTGGATACACTTAATTAAATGATGCATATTACGCTGTTGCCATCAGTGAGTGGTGTTTTATTTAAAACCCAAAATACATTTGTTTATTGTTTCAGAATCAAAAGTTAACCTAGAGAACCTAGCATCCTAACCAAGCATTGTCCATGTCCTCTCCTTCCAAGTTCCCTTTTAACTGAAATAAGCTGTATCTTTCTTGCAGCTTCTCCAAGTGAAGAAGTCAGTGTGATAGAGATGCATTAATGCAAGGGAGATTTGCCTAGCCGTCAATAAACTTGAAAGGCTCCCAGCGGGCCACTTGTAGTGTCAATAAAGGCTCATAATCACTTGCCCCTTTGAGCATTCTAACCCAGCCCCCTAGTTCGCTCTGCTGTGAATTCGAGGCTTCAGAACTGAGATGATCTTATCTTCCTAAACCTTCGGCAAAGAAAGCTAAATGTTGGTGGGGACCTGGTTTCTTTCTAAAGCAAAGCAGCTAGATGTTATCATTTTCAGCTGCCTTGAAACTGGTAACTCATAGCTGCTTTTCCTGTTCCCCTTCGGCATGGGCTTAGTGGTGGGCCTCACCATTTCCGGGCTTGTGGTGTAAACCCCAGGGGCCAAGAGTGGGTGACAGCTGGAGCCACTGCTCAATCTGAAGGAACAGAAATTCAGTGGAGAAGTTGGAGGTGGGAGTGTGGGGCAGAAGAACTTGCATCCTGGTCTATAGCTTGGTGAAACTCCTGGCCTCCGGGCACCGTTCATGCCAGGGGTGCCTCCTGCCCCACACCTCCTGCCCCTGGTAGAGGCCCAGGGTCTGTGTGGGACAGCCAGGCAGCAAGCTCTCGCTGGGTGAGGTGGGGACCAAAGGACAGCGGAGAAACGCCCTGAGGCCTGGAGCCCAGGGTTGGAAAAAAATGCCCCTGCCACTGAATACAATAGAAGTGAGGAAACCATAGGAGGGAGAAGAGGGTGACGGATAACTTACCGAGGCTTTGAAAGAAGAGCTTGTCCCACCCTTGCTTCCCTCCCCCCTTTCCTTCTCTCCTTCCTAACGTCTTTCCGTTTCCTTCGCGCCTGCAGGTGTACTTGCATTTGCAAAAAGGTCCTCGGTGGCTGCTTTTTCTCAGCATCCTGTTTCTCCTCAGTGAAATTTAGGGGGGACTGAAGTTTCCCTGACTTCTGCGTGAGGAGTTTCCAAATGACAACTAAAGAGTCACATACATATCCATAAAGTGCCTAATGACGCATGTGTCATCGCTCGTTCCCGCAGGGTCCTGACCCGGGGTCATCCCCCGCCCACCCTGAGCGGGCCACAGGCTAATCGGTGCGTGTTTGCACTTCCCAGGATAAATCGCCCCCTTTCTGCCCTGTCGCCCCCCCTTCACTCCACTCGGGCGCGCGCGGGCGCTCGTGGGCGGGCCTGCGTGTGTTTGCAGAAGCTCTGGGAAGACGCGAACCTCCCGGGGGCGCGCCCCCAACCCCAGCCCCAGCCCCAGGACGTCTCCACCCAGACGCCTCTGGACTCGGCCCGCAGCAGAAGCGCCCTCTCCT